ATTTGGTTCTCATATTAGAAACCATTGGAGCCACATAGGTATTCATGTTCAAGGACACTTCTTGAAGCTTACACAAAATATCAGACAAGTTATGAAAGGCTAAATGTAACGACAATTCTTGCGAAGATCAAAACAATTTGGTTGCTTCATAAAATGTTTTCAACAAAAGCCCTAGCTTTTTCCCAATCAGTAGAACAAGGTGGACCAGAATGTTCAAAAAACTCCATGTATTTGGATCCTCATCCTCTAACTTTTCAAATGTTGTTTGGAACTTCTCAGCAGCATCCAACATCAAGTAAGTGGAATTCCATCGTGTGGAAACATCAATGCCAAGTTTTATTTTACATGTTATCCCTAAAATTTTTATACATTCATTAAACTTCAAAGCTCTTTGTGGTGAGGACCTCACAAACCTAACATCATCGTGAACACTTTCAATATCCAACTCATGATCTTTTTGTCCATCTCTCACAACCAAGTTTAAGATATGGGCAACACACCTCATATGCAAAAAACTCCCGACACCAATTAAAGAATTCTTGCTCTTAAGTCTTTTTCCCAAGTAAGTAACAGCTACATCATTACATGTTGCATTGTCAAGGGTAATTGTTGATACTTTCCTAAGCCCTCATTCCTTCAAAACATCTTCCACGTTTTTACCAATGGTGTCACCCTTGTGATTTGGAACTAAACTAAAACTAATAATCTTTTTATGATAGATCCATGCATTGTCAATGAAGTGTGCAGTTATGGCCATATAACTAAGATTTTGAATTGAAGTCCAACAATCTGTGGTTAGTGCAACCCTAGCACAATCAAATTTAAAAAAGGCTTTAAGTTTTAAATTTTCGGCTAGGTAAAGTTGAAAACAATCCCTAGCAATAGTCCTCCTTTAAGGGATAGTAATTTGTGGTTGTAGTTGTTTGCATAGTTTCTTAAAACCCTCACCCTTTACCACTCTAAAGGAATGCTTATCAAGAATAACAAAGGAAGTAATAGCCTTCCTACATGCTTGAGAATTGAACCTTTGGCTTGTTGAACCTAAAAAGCCAGCATCACCACTTACAAGGTTTCTTTGTATGGGATCTTTATGTAAAAGGTTAGGGGTTTTGTGACACACTTTTGAGTGAGCTAACATGTTGGATGTTCCATGTGTTTTAGGGTCGCATCGGTATCTTTTGTGACAATGTTTACACACGACTATTGGTTCAGGTTCATAAGGTAAAATGTTAAAGCCTAACCAAACAGAGGAAGTTTTCCTAGTTCCACTACTTGTGTAGGTTCAGCATGGGAAACAGGATGTTCCGGCATTGAAAATATTTGGGTAAACTAAAAGAATCAATCCTATATTTTGACATACTAAACAAGGTAACACTTTTAAACACAAACACATACCTTGACTCAACCCTTGCAAACTAGCATTTTCAGCACCTTGCAAGCTCCCTTCTTCAGCTCCTTGCAAGCTTCCTTCTTCAGTTCCTTGCAAGTTCCCTTTTCTATGTTCCATCTCCCAATAATCAAAACAAACCAAACAATAAGGAAAAATAGCATGAACAATAACATTTTTGAATAAAAAAAATACAGATTGAGAGATTGAGAAATAGAGCGAAAGAGAAAGAGAACAAAGATGAGTGCATAAAAATTTACATGACAGGTCGGTGTTGGCAGTGAAGTGTTCCGTGGTGGTGATGGTGTTAGCTTGAGGTTGAGAGATTTTTAGGGTTGATGAAAACCGCGCTCTGTTGTTGTTGCTCTGTTGTATAGGATGAAAGTGAAACCCTAGACACGAGTAGAGAAAATTTGAATTGGGAATAGTAGCATATTGAACCGGTCGGTTTCAGATTTAACTAGATTGAAAATAACCAACTGAAACCGACCAACCGAAACCATGTGAATCCAACATTTGGCAAACCAGTAAACCAAAAAATTGACCCAACCGAACCGTTTCTTCATGGGCCATACGGACTGGTCGGATTGGACCGGTTCTACAATTTTCTGTCCAGCACTATAACTTTGAATTAGATCCAAAAGGTTATCACAAGTATGAAATTTTGGCGTTTTCTTCACCACTAATTGAACGACACGGAGATAGTTAAAGAAAAACACTTGATTTTCTCGAAACATGTGCCTAAAAATAGAGTAATACCTACTAACATAGATTGAATATTTCTAAGTAAAATGTTTGAAAAGCCCATAATATCATAATAATAAAAATAGAATTGACCATCTAAGGTGCACACTAAACCATTATAACCTTTTGTCTTGAGTTTGTTAATGCACTACCATCTAACATTTTGCATCCAAGTATTATTATCACCCTATTTCAAAAACACTTTCATTAGAGTTCGTAGATAGGAGGAACTATTTGAGTTACCAGATGTTCATTGTGATATGTCATGTTGTGAAAAAAATAGAGCAATTGTAGACATAGTTATCGACTGTGTTCCTTAAAAGACAAGTTTATTTCTTATATACCACATGGTTCACATAGTCAAATGATCTATTTTACCTACCTCGATAATCATAGGGTGGTGTATGCAGATTTTTAGTTTTCTAACTTATCTATTAGTTTATTTTTGTCTCATAATTAATTGTTGTTACTTTTAGGTCCCTTGAGTATATTTATATTAATCAATTTAATTTTTAACTCTCAGTGTCTGCAGCGGAGAGAAATTAAGATTAAGTTATTGATTAACTAAACTCATAAAGCAGGAGTCGCCACCACACTTATTTTTTTAAAGGAAATGGAAAAAGAGCGAACAAAACTCATAGAAGTTTTAAAACAAAACTAATAAAATAGAGACAAATGGTAAGAGGGTTGGTTATGCAATGGGAAAGTGTTAACACCCAAAACATCTATATTACTTTATAAGATCCTCTTGAAAATCTATGTTTGGCTTAAAAGATGTTGTTTGAAAAAGATTGAGGAGATGAGAAAAGAAATATTTTTTAAGATTTTGGTGTTTGACAAGACTTCTTGAGCATCGTGCCTACGTACTCACAAAGTGCAATAGAGGATCAAAACCACATAGTTTGTGGTAAAAATAACAAAAGAGTTTATTGTGATTGATTTTAAATGGAAAGACAACTTGTCATTATAAGGAGAAAACTCAACTAATCACCCACAAGTATATGAAAATGGACTTTTGCATCACTATTGAGAAGGACTCCAACTCGGATAGAGATCAACAAGTATGCCACTAGCTTTCTCAAGTAGAAAAGAAACACCATCAAACATCACTATGGGGATAGGAAAGTTACATCTCAACTATGAAAATGACTCATGTCTAATCCTTGAGAAAAAGTTTAAAAGAGAAAAGTCCACAAAATGGCATAAAATGGTTTGAATGATTTGTGTGTTTTTGAAGTCTTTTGAAATGGTCTTGATATGCTTAAGATGCATTAGCATTTATTCCAAAAAAGAGTTTGAAAATCACTTGACAAAGTCAAGGTTTATTAAGAAAGTGGTTCAATTTTGAAAACAATAAGGTTTAAAAAAAGGGATAAGATTTTGAAAATTTAAGAAGGGGAGGAGATGAAGAGGCAACCCTAATAAAAACAATAAAGTGAAAGTGTGCAAGTGAACTAACCAGAACATGACAAGAGTCAAGACCAAAGTTCCATTCATTTGGAGTAAGACACAATCAAGCTAAGTAAGCAAATCACAAACCAATGTATCAGATGAAAGAATAATTCATGCCAAAAGTTCAAAATCAAAGTATCAGAGCCAAGTCTTCAAAAAAGTAAACCCAAGGTCAAAGGAACCATATGAATTCCAAGGTCTCAGATCGCAACTCCAAAGAAAAGGATCAAGAACCTAAATCTAAGCCCACAAGTCCAACATCCAAGCTTTGGATGATAACCAATAGTCCATGGAAACCATTAAGTCTTTTAGGGGTTTTTTCTTTATTAATGTCTTTAAAAGAAAAATGGAAAATCCAAGGGAAAAAAGACATAAGCATAAACAAAATAAAATGTAAATGATGAAATAAAAGAATAATTTAAAGAGAAAGAAGTAAAGGACATAAAAGTAAATGTGCAAGAAAAATAAATGGTATAAAGTAAAAGTTAGAAAAATAATATTGTTAGTGTTAATGTTAGAGTTAATAAATCGATTCGGGACAAATTTAGCGCTATGTTAAGCAATCGTCACACAATCTATAAGGAAGATCATACTATGGGAGGCCGATCAATAACAATTTATGTACCATACATGTTAGAGATATGATACAAATCATACTCCTACAACATGTAACACAAGTAAAAACTAAGGAGGGATCAAGCACTAAAGCAAGGAGATTGGTCCATTACATCAATCAATCCTTCACGAAAACTTAGGAAAAACTTATGCATCAATCTAAACTACTTTGAATGATCATTAATCAATTGAATTGTAGATTTGAAATGATGAAAGTTCATCAAGCATCACTCCAAATGTCATGAACAAGATGGACAACTAATCATCCAATTGATCAAGAGAAAAGAAAAAGGAATAAAAAGAAAAAAAAAAGAAGGAAAGATGAAGATAGGACCAAATTGAATCAAGATTCAAGACCTATTGGATCAAGACACTAAACCTGTCATCAACTTAAAGCACCATTAAAGAATCAAATGATTCATTTAATGATAGATTTGAATTGATGAAGGTTCATCCAACCTCATCAACAATCAAAGTCCATTGAAATTTAGGAGAACTTTGATCAAGAAATTATAACTGAAGGCAACAACCAATAAACAAACCAAAATGAAATAATACACAATTAAAAGATGCATGTAAATATTTTTTAAATGATTTTTAAAATGAAAATAAAAGAGAAAATCAAGACGAGGCCTCTAAAAAAATATCAAATGATCAAGAAAATTAAGACAAGTCAGAAACAAGTCAAGGAGCATATAAATTTTTTTGGAGATTTTTTTTTTGAATCAATAAGAAGAATGCATTAATTCAAAACCAAGGAATACAAGAGTGCTGAAAAGCAAACCAACACTCGAAAAAAAAATTACATCATAAGCAAAGCTATATACTTCCTATATTTTCGATTATACGAGCCCCTCTGAATAATAAACTCTATAATGTTATTTACAACTTCTATTTTATCTATGTTTTGGTTCCTATTAAAGCAAGTATTGTTCATATAATTCCAACAATGGTAGACTGTTTCAACAATAACAATTTTCATCACACCAACTCTTTTGCCTTTGCCCCTGCAATAGTTGCTAATCCAATTAATTTTCTCCTCCCATTGACTCGGTTTATGACTCACTTGAAGCCATTGAAGGAAACTTGACCAAATCTCTTGCATCACATCACATTCAAAAAGCAGGTGGTCAATGTTCTCACTGGCCTGACAGAAGCAGCGGGTTTTGTATGATATCATACCCCAATTGGCAAGCCTTTTCTTAGTGGCTAATTTTAGATGGCAAGCAATCCACAAGCAGAAAATAGCCCTAGGTCTGGCCTTGTTCCCAGCCAGTATAGCATACCAGTTGACATTTGGTTCCTGGTTCTGAATATCTTTGTACACAACTCCCATTCTGAACTTTCCTTCTCTCAAACTGTGATTCCAGTATCTTTGTACTCTAAGAATAATATGACTGGTCTTCATGATTCCTTTCAAAATCCAGGAGGAACTCTTAGTCACCTCCATTGCTAAAACATCACTACTCTCTATGAACTACATATGCATCCACTTGAACCACAAGCAGTCACTTTTTTTTGTACAAATTCCACAGGAGCTTCAGCATTGTTATAGTGTTTCAGATATCAAGATTTAATATGTTCAAGCCACCCTTTATTTTGGGACTGCAAACAGTTTTCCAAGCTACAGGGATTTTCCTGCTAGAGGATGTGCCACCGGTCCAGATATAAATTCTGCAGGCGGTGTGGATTTTCTCAATAACAACTTTAGGAAGAGGGAAACATTGGAGCCAATAGATGGATATTTCAAATCCCACAACATTCATTAGTTAGACTCTACCAACATGACTCAACAACTTTTCACTCCAGTGATGAATCCTATGAAGGATTTTCTCAACGAGAGGAAGATAATGATTCACAGAAAATTTTCTACTAGTAAGAGGGACTCCACGGTACCTGAAATGGAGTTTGCCCTTATTGTATCCAGTCATCCTGAGAATGTGCTGCTTTTCAGCCTCTTCAACTACACCAAGATACACATTACATTTAGATGGATTCACCACCAAACCAGTTGAGTGGAAGAACTGCGACTTAGTTTGGGTCATTATCTCCAGAGATCCCTTATTACCTCTATAGAACAAGAGAATGTCATCAACAAAGGAGAGATGAGTGAGCTCCATCTTTTCACACTTGGAATGGTGATTAAAGTTGGGGTTTCTTTGCATTTTAGTCAGCAATCTACTCATATACTTCATGATTATCACAAACAAAAAAGGTGAGATAGGGTCACCCTGTCTGATTCCTCTTCTAGCTTTCATTATTCTGGAGTTCTCACCATTGATATAGTACCTATAAGTGACATTGGTGATACCATTCATGATCCACTTCATAAATTGCTCAGGAATTCAAACCTCTAAGAGGATAGTTTCAAGGGCTTTCTAGTTCAGCATATCATATGCTTTTTGTAAATCAAGTTGCATAAGACATCTATGAGTGCCATTATTCCTAGAATAGCCTTAAAGGAGATCATAAGCCAACAAGATATGGTTATGTATTTATTGTCCAGGAATGAAAGCTGCTTGGTTATGGCTGACAATATTACCAATGACTTTGGCAAGTTTAGATGTTAAAACCTTAGAGTAAATTTTATAAACCATGGTACAATAAGCAATGGGCCTATAATATTTAAGGTATCTAGCATCATCTTTCTTAGGAACTAGAGTAACAAGGGTACTATTGAAAACCATAGACATCTTGTTATACCTTAGCCAATAGCAGATAGTGTTTATGAGATTCTGCTTCACAATATTCCAGCAACTCTTGAAAAACTTGGCACTGTAACCATCTAAGCTAGGAGCTTTGGAATCACATATGTTCTGCAGAGCATAAAAAATCTCCTTCTCAGTGACTGGAACAATTAGACAATGTCTCTGCTCATAGTTGAGATGGGTTCCCTCTCTCATAACACTAAGGTCAATTTGATGGAGATATCTATCCTTCTTCCCCATAAGCTCCTCATAGTAATGAAGCACTTCCTCCTTAATATCTTTGTTGGTATTTAGCTCAGAGTTATCATCTTTGCAAACACATATCAGATTCTTAAATTTTTTAGCTTTTAAGGAAGCATGGAAATAGTGGTTATTCCTATCTCCAAGCCTAATTCAATCAACTTTTGATTTCTGCTAAAGCACCTTTTCCTCCAGGTCTTGCCATCTGATGATCTCTTCAGTCTTCTCCTTGACCTTCTAGATAATGGTAGGGTTCATACGATCATTGACCAAATCAGCCTGCCAATTATCTAATTCTTCTCTAACTTCCATAATGGTTCTCTTAACATCAATTACGGGTTTACTCAAGCTTCTGATTATAGGCCTTAGTCTTTTGAGTTTTTCCCAAAGGATATAAGGAGGGGTGCTTATAACTGGCTCAACCCAACTTTTAGCAACGGCTTCTTGAAAGCCATCAAGCTCAGTAGTACAATTGATGAATTTGAAACTCTTCTTGTTGGGTCTAACCTGATTCTGGTGGTGTAGATGCAAAATCACATGATCAGAAACACTAGGGGGAAGGTGCTTCAGATGGATATTCATATTTTGGAACCAAGCAATATTTCCTATTACTCTATCAACTCTAGAGTAAATAGGATCAATCACATGCTTGTTGTGCCAAGTGTAGTATTCCCCTTGAATATCCATCGCAGCCAAGTTACACTTATCCATCATATCTTACAGATCTTTAAACTCATTTTCAGTTACCAATATACCTTTAATTCTATCTTTACTCTTAAGCACATTGTTGAAATCTCCAATAATGCACCAAGGATTATTATTGGAGAATTTTAAAATGTATAAAAGTATTTTTAAACAAATTAAAATGCATGAAAAATGTAAAAAAAAGATGAAAAATATCAAAACAAGGAATGAAAGTATGAAAAAATAATCATAAAGTAGAAAATATTTTTAGAAAATTATGAAAAAAATTGGAGTGGAAAATATGAAGGGAGCTATTTTTAATGATTTTTCAAAATAAAATGAGAAAATAAGACAATTAAAATGAAATTAGAATGCTGGAAAAAAAACCACAACCATTAGATCTGATCTAAGGATGAGAACTAAAACACGCGCAACCATCAGATTTCATTTAAAATTGATCCAAAGGCTCAGATCAGGAGAGACACAGTGAAGTTTAAATGAAATAACGCACATGATCCATAATAAATCAAAACATCTCAGGCCACTATGTGAGCTTCTCCAGTCATCTTCTCCAGTGAAATGTTCACCGAATTTTAGAAAATGGCAAAACTAGATCATGAGACCAATGCCATTGTGACTGTCCCATTGAAGCAAACTTAACCATGTGCATCACTTTAATTTATTGAAAGTGAGCATGGAGAATTTCAATGACATGTAGTGAAACAATAAAATACGAAAACAAAAATAAAATTACTAATATGAACAATCAACACAAGGTAATTGAGGGGAAACAATCAGGAAGCAATAGGCTACATTGTGGTAACTTGTTTGAGTCCAAAAGATGCTCAGAAATACCTTGTCAAAATGATGATCAGAGGTGCTAAAAGCTGGATTTGGTTAGAGCAATTCAGTGAGTCTTAGAGCTTGATTCTTGTTGCAGAAGCTTTAGAGAAGAACGATGGAGTTAATGGAATCAAGAAATAAGGTTGAAAGAGCTTAGAATTTGAAAATGAAATCACAACATTTCAGTGCAAGGTGGGAGCTCGAGCAGAGGTTCTGGGGCTTTCCAAGCTTGATTTTTAGTGCAAATGATTCCTCTATTTATAGCTGAGGTGAAAGGATATCATACGTGTGAGAATTTGTTAGAATTCGTGTGAAATTAAGTGTGCCAAAAGTGTGACTAAGCTTGATCATGAAGTCAGCCAAAACGAAGTGTGAACCTTCCAATTTTGAGTCGTTTTTTATCCTCACATATCACTTAACCTCATCATGGACAAAACACGTCCATACATTGACTTAATTTGGATATTTGAGTAAATTTGAAATTCTGACCATAACCAAAACTCAGTTTCATGGAGGCATGTTCATAGTTAGGTCAAATGCAATCTACTCGTGCATTTCTTGATTTTTCTTAAGCCAAATGATCTTCTCATGGGGGAGAATACAATGCAAAAATAATCAATCCAAAAGGATACTTGAGGTGAAAATGGCATGAGTTGAAAGTTGAGGTCGTGACACTGAAAAACATGCCAGGCATTAAGTCAAACAGGCCATGACCTAGTTTTGTGCACAAATGGCCTTCAAGATTTGAGGTCCTTGGAGCATGAATTGATGTTTGACCTCTAAAGCAAAGTTGTAGAGGACATCAAGAAGGATATTTGGCAAAAAGAAGCGCTGGTAAAATTTGAAAATTGATGAAGTTATGATCTATTAAACATAGGCATGCCATACTTAAACTTTAGGTCAAATTTCACTAAGTCCACAAAATGACCTATAATATTTCCACATTTTTTATGGTCTTCCAAGCACAATTAGCTCTTGACTTGTAAAGAGAAGTTGGAGGGGATATCAAGAAGATTCATTTTAGTAAAGAAGCACTCAAAAATGTTGAAGTATGAAGAAGTTATGAAGTCTTGAATTTAGACTTGAAATGTTGGCTTTTTGGTCAAACCTTCTTGTACAAACTTGCAACCTTGGATATTTTCATGCATTTCAAGGCACATTGATGATCATATAAGCTCAAAATGATGCACTCTTGATTTTCCTATGATAAAGCTTGCAATGGCTTGAATAAACTTGTTGATGAAGGCATGAAAATAAACACATGAACCTTTGAAACTTCTTGAGAAACAAGTCATCCAATCTTGAGATATCTTTGATCAAATGAAGTTGAATGATGCTTGAGACATTAAGATTTGAGATTATAGGTTATTCTTTGATGAATAACCCTTGAAATCAATGGTTGACCACACTTTGACTTGAGGAAACTCAAACCCTAGCTAAGGATACAATCACTTGATGCTCTTGATTCTCAACCATACCTTGAAAAACATATTTTTGGATTTTGATTAAAGGTTAGTGAAATATAAAGCATATAAGTACAAAAAGAAATATACACAAAGAGGTGCTTGGTTATCTCTACATGGGCAACCCCAAAGGTGAGAGGATTAGAGGACAACCAAGTTTGTGATCTAGATATATTGTAAAGATGCAAATGAGATGAGATCTTAGGGGTTAAAATTAGGGTATGACATGTGCCCTTATTTAAGTTTCTTCTATTCAAAGATATGAAGATTGACATCTTCGTCTCAACGAGATAGAAGATACCTAAATACAGAAGACCCAAATTGTGGCCCTAAGATAATGCAAAATGATTATGATATGATATGATATGATATGAATGCAGAAAGGAAGAATAAAACCATCATGAATATGGTGAGAAGTATGTTGAAAGACAAGCATCTACCCAAAGAATTATGGAGAGAAGTTGTGTCAACTATAACATACATCTTGAACAGATGTCCGATGAAAAGGCTAAAAGGAATTACTCCAGAAAAATGTTGGTCTGGTGTCAAGCCTAGTCTAAGTCATTTGAAGATGTTTAAATCTATAGCACATAGACATGTGCCAGATCAGTTGAGAACAAAACTTGATGATAAGTCGAGTCAAATAATCTTGATAGGATATCATTTGACTGGAGGATACAAGTTGTTCAACCTAGTGAACAAGCAAGTTGTGATCAACAAGGACATGATCATAGATAAGCTTAAGAAATAGGATTGAACTGAGAATGTTAAGAAGGATTCAGTGAGAATCTAATGTGAAGAACTAGCTAGCGAAGTTGAAAGAGAAGTTCGACAAGAAGAAGTCAGAAGTTAAGCAGGCCCAATCAGACCTCAAAGAACAAGGCACATGCCTGCAAGGTTACAAGAATCTATGATTATATCATCGAGGTGGATTCGATTGGAGGTAACAGATACTTTGCCACATTGATAGATGATTTTAATCGAAAACTGTGGACTTACCTGATCAAGAAGAAAAGTGAAATGATCAAGGTATTTGCCAAATTTAAATTTATGGTCGAAAGACAAAGTGGTCGAAAGCTAAAGATTCTGATGACTGATGGTGGTGGAGAGTATGCGTCGAAAGATTTCGATGCATTATGTGAGAAAGAAGAGATTGTGCATGAGGTCGTGCCACCCTACACTCCACAACAGAATTACTCGTTGTTATTGGATTCGGGTTCTAAAGTTATAAGATAAGTTTTGCACAGAAGAATTTGTTTCCCATTATGATAATAAATTTTTATTTTTTGGGGTTTTAGTGTGTCTGTTTTAAGTTTTTAGTATTATAGTTATATTGTTTGTTTATGTTGAAGAATATGACATTTTTATTAAGACTTGTTAAAGTTTTACTATGCATTGTTAAAATTTGTCGGTTTCTTTGTTAATGATTAACAATTTTGCAAAATATGTAGTAAATCAAATTGTGAAAAAACAATTGGCAAGCTGACCCACCAATTCGTTAGTAAACGGGGCAGACTTGACTTTTGATCTCGGACGCCTGAGTTGTCTCGCCCCACCCCCATTCCGCATTTGAACGAACTTAAACGGGACTGATCGTCCGCTTTGGCACCTCTAATTAACGTCACCTTTATAATTTTAAGTGAAGTTGTCAATTTGACACTAATTCTGAATTTTATTTTATTTTTTGTTTGAAAGTGGATTTGTTAGAAAAACATGTGAGAAAGATGATTATTATAAAAATTTATTTAAAAAATATGGTTATTTGAGTAAATTTTTTAATCTTTCTCATATAAATAGACCAAAGAGAGTATTTTAATTAACGTAACTATTTTAATATATATTAAAATTTAAAAATACATTTAATTAAAAGAATTTAAAATAAAATGAAAGATTGAGTGTATGTATAAAAATCAGATATAAATTGAAGTAGTTACGTTAATTAAAATAACACAACATTATAAATTAACGTAACTACTTCAATATATATTAAAATTTAAAAATAACATTTAATTGAAAAAATTTAAAATAAAATGAAAGGTTGAGTGTATGTATATAATATATTATAAATCAATGGCAAAATCAAGTTTTTTAATAATTATATATTTTCTTAAAATAACACAAAATTATTATCATTAGTGTTAAATATATTATATATTATTATCATATATTCATTAAGTTATATTTATAATTCATTCAAGCTTCTCATAAGTTTTTATTTTTTTTTATAAATACTTTTAAGTTTCTAGATTATGAACGTTGGATTGTTCATTTCTATCATCTTTCTAGTTAATTTCATCCATAAAAATGTGATAATTTAGTAATTTGGTCGGTGGGAATATTTTCCAGTTGAATTCATCGATTTTTCTTTTTATATTTTCATTGTGATTCCAATTGATTTTTAACGATAATACATATATAAATAAAAACCTACCATTTAGTCAATACAATCCTTATAACTGGACGTTATTATTTCTCACCACACTTATTGTAATGGTAATACATAAATAAATAATAAAAGTTAATTAATTAAAACACAAAAAGTCTTTTTTTATATACATAAAAATATAGTTCGTGAATTGGCCTTCAGAGACATATCAAAATAAACTTTATACATAAACTTTAAATGTTATTTATCAAAGAGGAATTTACATAAATTTTAAAATTTAACTATTAAACAGTAAAATTATTTTAAATAAAATTTTGATTATTTAACATCATAAGTAGTACAATAATTCAAAAATTTATGTATTAATAATATTATGAAAGATAATTGATTTTGCTATCTAAAAATAATAAAAACAAATTAAAATTAAAATTAATAATATTATGTTATTCCGAACATTTTAAATTTTAAACCTTATATGATAACACATCTTATACATTATAAAAAATGATCATATCTATACATGTAAATATGACTCAATTAAAATAATATAAAAAATCAAACTAATTAAACCAAATATGTCGAACCAATCTAAACCAAGTTAATTTAGTTTGATTTTATTTTAAAAATCAATTAAATCAAATCGAATCACACTTTTTTTAATTTTATTTTGTAATTGGAATGACTTTTAAAGTTAAAACCTTTGAAACCGCACTACAAAGTACAAACACACCTAAAATCATTTAGTCAAATTTAAAGCTTTTTATGAGAACTAAAGGAGTAAAAATAATCCTGATAAACTCAAAAGAAAATGAACCTGAAACAGATAACATAAATGGATACAAGTCAAACTTAAATACAACTTAGGGAATACAATTTTCTTTTAATAAAATCCCCAAAATATCCTTTTTCTTATCTATTCCCTTTGTCATCATTCATTTATCATGTGAAGTTAATAAAAAGCCTCACTTTTTAAACTCAAATAAAACATATTCCATTAATTTTTCAAAAAGAAAAACACACTTCATTAAATAAAAAGGAAAAAAATAAAAGAAACAGACAGAAAACTGAGGAATATGTGCAAAGGTTATATACAAGTAACACAAGTCACAACACACAATCTCTAGAGATAGAGAGAGATAGAGATAGAGAGAGAAACTAAGTGTAAGTGTTGAGCATGGCAAGTTCTTCAGCATCAGCATTTTCTGATGAGATTCCAAACAACAATGTCCAGGGAAGTTGCATAATCGATGTCCCTTTCTCACCTTTACCATCATGCAACTTATTTGACATGCCGCCACCACCATCACTATCTGATCATCAAGATCAAAATGATGGTTCTTTTGCTGGTTACATGGACATGCTGAGCTCAGATGATTTCAATTTCAACGCTTCTTGGTTCTCAAACTTCAACTTTGAAATCGGTACGTCAGAATCACTACCTGCTGCCACCCAAACTGACGTGCAGCTGCCTCCTTTGCCGGTTCTGTCCCCCGTTGCAACGTCTGAGATTTTGAATAATGTGGCGACTCCTGCCTCGGGTTCCTCTTCGAATACCTCATCACCGAATGAGGCTGGTGTTGTTGCTAACAAACCGGTTGTTGCAAGAGCTGAGAATGAAGATGGACGTGAATTTGTTGAAGGAAAAGAAGTTGAAGCTAAGGATCACGGTGGAGATCGTCGAATCGAAGTGGTGGAGAATCGAAATGATCAAAATCAGACTAAGAAACCGTGAGTAGATTAAACTATCTTTGAATTATTTATTATTTATTTTATTATTTCAAAATAAAAACTATTATTGATATAAAAAAATAAAAAATATTAAAAGAAAAGGAATCAGACAGTTACAGTCAAAGAGAAAATTGAGGAAGATGATGAAATATGTATTTATTTATTTTTGTGTGTTTGTGTGTTCAATTCATTTGTGTGTGGTAGGGTGAAACCAAAGACGGACAAGAAGAAGCAAAAATTGAAGAAAGTTATTTTCAAGACACAAACTGAAGAAGATTACTTAGATGATGGTTATAGGTGGCGCAAGTATGGCCAGAAACCTGTTAAAAATAGCCCTTTTCCCAGGTATCATGAAATGCTTCGTAGATCTGGGTGCAACTTTCTGTAGACAAGTTTTGCAGAAACTTGCACCCAGATGAAAGACTAGTTGAAAATCAAATAATGTATTTGATTTTCATTAAATTATATATAATGTTAAAACTATAGTAGTGATTACACATATTGTCGAATTGAAGTTATTTATTTTTATCTTGTTTGGTGATATGCAAAACAGGAGTTATTACCGTTGCACCACCCCCGGTTGTGAAGTGAAGAAGCACATAGAGCGTTTTGCGCTTGAGCCTTCCATGCTGCTAACCTCTTATGAAGGCAAGCACACCCACCTAGCTCCAAAGGTGAAGCATGTTTCACGCCTTGAAATCATGCATGATGCGATAGCTGCTGGTGACCAGAAAATCCACCGTAAAAAGATCAAAACTGATGGCGTTGGTGTTGCTGGAAACAAACTTCCAATGTCGCAGTCGCAACCACAACAGTTTCAGAACCAGAATCAGAATGTGATACTTCAACAGCCTGCATTGCATCCATTGTTATACAATAATGGTTATCATAACTCCTTCAACGTCGCTCCAACTTCGAATGTTGTTAACTATGCTAACAACTCTCCACCTTTGAATGTTGTTAACTCTTCTGCTGCTGACAATTTTCCATCTTTGAATGTTGTTAACTCTGCTGCTGCCGAAAATTCTCCACCTTTAAATGTTATTAACTCTGCTGGCTATTTCTTCAACTCTTCGAATGTTGTTAACTATGCTAACAACTCTCCACCTTTGAATGCTGTTAACTCTTCTGCTGCTGATAATTCTCCAACTTTGAATGTTGTTAACACTGCTGCTGCTGACAATTTTCCATCTTTGAATGTTGTTAACTCTGCTGGCAATTTCTTCAACTCTTCGACATCATTTAGTGAATTCCTTCAGAATCTAGGTGGATGCAATTATTCATTGTGGACAGGTAATTTGAGGAGCAACGATGGACTTCTTGAGGACGTGATCATGCCAAGGGAGACGAGAGGAGCTTGGGCTGGAGCTGGAGCGGGAGCAGTAGCAGGAAGATGAAGATGATGATGATCATGATGCTTAATTATGTTTCATGCTGGATTAAAGATACTTAGTTATGGTATTAATTAATTTCAATTGACTTGTATATTAATTAATATCTGGTAGCCAATAATTTAAGTTACTCAAATTTATATCATGATATGGTGGAAAACTCAATGAGTCTATGCCCTAATTATTAGATTATGATGATTTTGCTGCTTTTTTAGCTTTTTCTTGTTAATTTCCTTCTATGGTGCTGTGTTATTCATTCTCAATCATAACTAGATTTTTCTTCCATTTTGGTGCTTTTCTCTTTCTAAAATTACTAGTATTTTTCTCTTTTCATCAAGTCACTCACATTAAACTCTTTCGCCATGGTTTGATTCTTTTTGTTCATGCTGCAAAAGGTACCTACCTTTTTTAGGGTTAGGGTTTTTTCTTACCTTAATTGTTACAATGTTTAAATTGCATGTGTGATCAATATCTTCTTTTCCAACTCTATAGACACTTTAACTTGAAAAGGAAGACAAGAACACGTAAGTTGATTGATTAAAAGAGATGAAAACATTGTATGAAAAGAGTGTTATAATTGCTCCATGACAAGACACAATACATGAGGTATGAAAAAAATAAGCAACATGATTACTTGAAAAGTACTCTTTAGCTTTTTGTATATGATGGCTTTTTTCTCATCATCTTACTCTATAAGCTATATACAAAGAAGGTGTTCTACCATTCAATCATGTTGTGTGTTACCTAAATGGGAAATAGCAAGAGCATGGTAAAAGATAGATGATTTGATGAGATATTGGATTATCAATACATATAGATATTTATTCATGTCTTATCTATAGCACATAAATAGTAATAGTAGTAGAAGCCATTGTCTATATTATACCTCTAGTTTAGTATAGTTTTGTTGCTTTCTCTTGGGCATATGGTGCCTAATATGATCTAGCATAGTTAAAAGTCTATTCCATCACATTTTTTACTTACCAACTTGCTATAAGTTATCTCTTGTGCAAGACTCTAGTTGAAAATATTAAAGTCATTTTCTTTAAAATGGTTATGACCATGATGTTTATTTTACTTACCAAGCATTAAGTTTTTTTTTTTAGATATCAAATTGCTTAGGATGATTTTGTTGGAGGATATGGAGATGAAAAATGACTATATTAGCGGTTTTTATGATTGAGTCGTTGAATCCTCCTTTTGAGGCAGGTCTATGGTCTCTTTTTTTCCTTCTAATTTACAATGTTGGTCAAGTTTTTTTTTTTTTATTTTTTTTTTTATATATTAGGTTGATGCTAATTTCTGTCTTTAGTACATAAGTTAATAAATTAAAAAAAAATTAAAATAAAAAAATTTAAAATTAAAAAAGTCTTGAGTTCAAAGAAACAAATTTAATTTCTTAAGGAAATCAATGCACAATTACTAGATAGCTTTTTATATTTGATTTCTTAACGTGTACTCTTTAAATATATTAATATTTTTTCTTTTGAATATTACTTTTAAAATTCTTTTTAAAATAAATACTTGAGTCATGAAATGTTAATGTATTAAGTCTCTATATTCAACCAAATACATCAACACTTTACTTGCAATTGAGATTTATCAAAAAAAAAATTTATTTTATGCGTGCGTGTGTCAACACGAGAGAGTATTTTTATTTTGGAATTTTTTTTATGAGCAACACACATTTGTGAGAGACACACCACATATTTATCTAAAACTTTAAGGTGGTAGGTATGTGGGTTCTCCCACTTATAAATGCTCAAATTTCTACATTCCTAATAAATGTGCGACTTTCCCACACTACTCACACTTGTAATTTTTTTTAACACACCCCTCAAGTTAAACTCTTTTATCTACATACACGTGTACCATCGTTGACACTTTTTAACATACCATCTCCTATCTAGTAGAGAATTTTGATACAAGTAAATCGGTCCATTCACTCGAACTAAAGACTCATTATACCACTGTTAGGACTATTCGGGAGAGTAAACATGAGGGAACATTTTTACTTTGATGTCTTTCTTTTTTATGAGCAACACAACTTTGTGAGACACACACCACATACTCATCCTAAATCTTAAGGTGATAGGTGTGTGGGTCCTCCCACTTATAAATGCTCTAGTCTTCACATTCCTAACCAATGTGGGATGATCCGTTGTCGCACACGGATAAAAAACGAGCTTATAAGAGTAGTATATGAAAGCGACGCTCGAGTCATATCTTAAGGACTCTTCACTTAAATTAATCAACTGATTGGAACAATAGGGGATTATAGATTTTCAATTAAGATTATAATTAAAACTAATGACCTATCACTGATTATTCTAACTCCAATTTCCTAAGCGAATTTGACCCCTATTAGATCGCAATATTGATTAAACAAGCGTAATTGATATTATATGATTTATGCCTTATTTTTCGAATTAAGCAAATTGTTAAAGATTGGGCAAATTAAAAAAGCTACGTTAAACGCAATTAAACTTAGGAACATGCAACTATCGAATTAAATCAATATATTCTACCCCGGAATTGAGCATGTAAGAAACACAAAATAATATTGAAAGAAATCAAAATCGAATTGAAATTACAATAACCTCAAGGTTTGATGAAAACCGTTATCAGTAGATCAACCTTTGGAAAATTAGCTCTCTATAGGAATTGCAGTCGTCTAATGTTAGTTTGTGTAAACTCTAAATAACCTAGCAATTACACTGGATTTTGGTTTAAATATTATAAGAGAAATCAGGCCCTAATAGCAACCGACTCGAAAAACATAAAACTAGGTGCAAAACTAATTAATTTACAAAGTCTGGCACGAAAACACAATATTTGAATCTTTTGTATTCCCATTTAGCTACATACTTCAACATGAAACTTGTAGTTTATACTCTCATTTTTTTCAAGGCATATTAGAACGCATCAAACGATATCTCCTAGCCCAAGTTATGACATGCACGACGAGAATATGTCAAATTCTTGCTTATTCAAAAATTAAGTAAGAAAAATTCAAATAAAAGCGGAAATAAACTAAACTTTGAAAACACACTAAAACAGTAAAAATAACATACGAGACTGTAGAGTTGTCGTGGCATAATAGTGAAAGAATGTGCATCAAAATGCACTGATCAAATTTCCCCACACTTAAACTTTTACACTCCGAGCAAAACTCTAAAGTCAAAAATCAAAACAGAGTAAAAGAAAAATAAACAAGAATAAAAAAGAGCAAGCAAATTCAAACTTTAAGGATCATAAAGGGGTAAGTAAATTCCTTATTCTAAGCTTCAAATAATATGATATTAGTGAATAACTTTTTGTGACAGTCAAAGCAAATAAGAAGAGAATTGATCAATGAATACATCATAAGTGGCAAGATCGTCACAAGATAAAATTCTCTCAACTTGAAAGTGTTTAGGTTATTTGTTTACACTCAAAGCATATCATGAAAATTAGCATTACCATAAGCTTGAAAAGACTCTAACATTCACACTTGAAATACACGCACACAAAGATCAAAAGTACTTTATTCAGTTTGTAACGTGGCTAAGATAAATGTGAGATCATTTCTAAAGGGGTACTAGGCTAAAATTTAAAGGGATAAAAGAGAATTGAAAGAGACTGCCAGAGTTAAACTAAACAATATTTCATTCACTTTTCATCAACTTCTTTGCACTCATTTTCTCTTCTCTCTGCTATTTTTCTTCTTCTTTTTATTTTATTTTTCAGAAGGAATATGACAGTAACATGAATTTTCATCTTTCTTTTCTTTTTCTTTTTTTTTTAATAATTTTTTTCTATTCTTTCTAATTTGTTTCTTCTATGCCAATTTTTGAAATATCACAACACAATTCAACCCCACACAATTCCAAACAAACCTCTTTTATCCCCCTTAAATAGGGTGATAACATTGTTTTCCACTTTAGACTTGTAATGAGTTATAAGAAAAAATGTAATAAATTAGTTCAAAAGGGTTTCAAACAAGGGGTGTTATAATTTCACAATTGACTTTTTTATTAAGTGGCTAAAAATAAAACAAAACAAGTTGTCTTTATCATATCAGTGTGCACAAGTAAATAATTTTTTTAACAAGAGTCAAATCAAGTTCTAGAGTAACTATAATGCATGAGTGAAATCACATAAGAAAGAAATAGATGAATTTTTGAATGTTATCTATTATTAGGCTTAAAATCTCACAAAGGATATTGACCAATCATAAATGATGCATAATTTAGAATTTAGTACTACTTATCATACTGCGAATGCACAACAAACCACTCGCATCACACCACGAGTCTTTAGTCAAGAGAACAAAGAAAATACTCACACTTGCAACCAAAAAACCAAAGAAAAAACATGTATTTTTTTTATTTTAAAGAAGAAAAAAATAAATAAAAAATAAGAGAGAGAGAGAGAGAGAGAGAGAGAGAGAGAGAGAGAGAGAGAGAGAGAGAGAGAGAGAGAGAGAGAGAACACACCCAAGTAGTCAAGGTGAATAGATGATCGCATAAGCAGCCTTTCCAAAGAGATCTCTTCTTCCAAAGTGAGGCTCTCATGGAGTAGTTTCAGGCAGTGTCCATTGATTGTAAAGTTTTTATTAGAGAATCTTTAATGGGAGTAAACTAAATGGATAAACTAAGATACTTTTTATGGGCCCAAAGTGATTTGTAAGATTTAAAATATTTATAATTGATTTGAGTTGTTTTTACTTTAAAGATGATTGCTTGTAAAAAAACCAAAACTTGACCCCACATTTTATAGTTGTTGGAGCTTTATTGATATTTTAATAATATAAAACAATAATAAAATAATAATAAGAGTCATTGAGAATGGATAGTGTACGTTGGTTATATAGTTTACTCCCACTAATTGTTAGTTCACTTACTGCCATGTCATTCTTATTCCAATGCAAATTGCTTATAACTACCGTTACTATTAAAGAATTTAATACTACAGAACCTGCACTAAAGATGCTCTTAGTGCATTTGCCTTTTATTCTAGGATCA